GTTATAACTATCCAAAGCCAATCTGAACCATTGCTAGTATTTTCTATAAACTCATCCTGCGTGAGTCCATTACGATTGAATTGTTGGCTCATACATTTATACATACCATCGTATGTCCACTTGTAAATCTTCATATCTACAACTCTTTATAATAATTTGTAATATAAGTAATTTATTAGTAATTTATTTTGTAATTTGTAATATATAATACGTGAGTAGCCACAAATTGAAGGTTCTACTCAGATCGTGTAAATTTCTCATACAGTAATACAATGAAGGGCCGTGTTATGCCGGTCGTGGTCGTGTTAAATAAAAAAAACTACACCACGATCTGTTTAGAACCTTAAATTTGTGGCTGTAGTTTTTTCTATTAAGCAGGACCACGACCAGCATAACACTGCCCTTCATTGTATTACTGATGAGAAATTATGTATTGTTAGATATACGAATTAGAGTTGAAATAGCTCACAAGAAAAAATTTTGACATAAACATATTAAAACATTTTTATCTACACTACAATGGTCTTTCATCAGAAAACAAATATTTGTTCCAAGTCAGGAAATGAATCTCTGCAACTTTTATTGCATAAGCCAGTTTTTTTGTATTTAAAAACTCGAGCATTTCAAATTTTTGTGATAGATGATTTCTTCTTTTTCAACAGCGCTTGCATCATTTTGTAGAGCGTATCGAGCCCTGATTAAATCAAGTTGTTTCTAGTTTGGACCAAGTTTGAAAATGAACCCTAAAATATTTTATTCCAAAAAACCCAAGAGTAAAACCAGTTTTTCTGAAAATCTTCAAATATTTTGCTAGTGGATGGTCGTTAGAGTGACATCATTTGATAGAGCTCGTTGCACTGATTCAGAAAAAGCTTGTCTCGAACTTGGTCCAAGCCGAGAAATGAATCCGGAAAACTTTTGTCCCCATAGATGACAAGGAAAACCAGTCTATGAAAAATTTTCTGATGTTTTTGTCGAGATGAAAGCTAAAAGATGATGCTTTTATTAAATAGAAAAACACGTGAGGGCAGTTTGTGTATTTGACCTGACACGATCAAAAAAAATGAAGTTAATACTTATTATTTTAGAGTTGAAATGAAGTCTGAGTTTTACTCTTTGGAATGACAAAAGAATCAGCTCGAAAGTATGTATTCACTTGGTCCAATAGCCTTGTCGGAACTCATTTGCCAACTATTGATGCTGAACCCAAAAAAACGTCCCGATAGAATTCCGAAAATAGTTTGGCTCTGTTTACTATTCAAGTAATCCTACAAAAGCCCTATGTTTCGATGTCTATATGGATTTTAAAAGTTGCTTTTTTGGAAATCGAAACTGAGACATGGGGCTGCCGAAAGCAATCCCTTGTAGTGTTGTTTTTTTCCCCTTGGGATAGTTATTGTTGTTGAGTGGGTTCTATAACGAAGTGAGATCTTTCTAATAATTTAGACGATCACCGGGAGCTAAACGTTTCATCCATTTGCCTAGCTCATCAATAATGGTACTTTTCTCTACTAACCACGGTCGTGTCTTATAGCAATCATAACCGTGTCTGAGAACCAACAAACACGATGATTCTGTTCGTTCCATAATTAACGGTTTGACTATTATTTTTTCATCTTGTTCACCACATTGTGATCGTTCATACGGCAGTACAACAGTTATACCATTATCCATCATCTCCTCTATACTGGTCATTTGTGTACAAACAAGCAAACGTACACCGCATAATGATATGAGTTCATCCAACGATATTTGACCATGTACGCCAGACATTTCAAGTGAACGAAAAGCTTCATCCGTATCACCGAGACAGATGAAAGCAGTTGATAACAATACGAACGAATTGGATCTGTAACGATTTTTTTTATTCATACACACTTGTTTAAATGAATCAATGTAACATGCTGCAGTATCCCATTGCTGAATCAATCGGTACGCGTGAAAAAGCGTGTAATAAACTAGTACAATGGGTTCGATAATGATTTCTTCCAGACCGAGTTTAGCACATACAAATGTCAATATTGGACAGGTTAAATCATCTTCACCGTACATTAATAATTGTGACGACAAATAATCTTTATCACCATCAATAACTGATATTATTGACTCCATTGTGTTAATAGCCTCGTTATAATATCCAAATAAGAAATAGCATGAATAACCCATTTCCGTTCGGGTTACAAACGAATTTGATAATTCTAAGGATGTATTAAATAATATTTTCATGTGTTCAAAACACTTATCCGAGCGTTTTTCCACATCTTTAACACGATTCTTATCAATATTATTACTAATCGGGTCATTTCTATTCACCATAAAGAGTTGATGTTTTAACATTGATGTTACTCCACATTTATATAAAGCGGCCTGATAAAACGATGTGGCCAATATATTACTTTTGACATCGATTGAATAAAACCGATCGATAATAGAGTGCATATCACATTCAAGATCAACGATGGGTACACAAATACGCTCAATTATCATTTCCAATAGTAAACCTAGTTGCTCTCTTTGAATAGGTAAATATGTATAGTTAGTTACAGCAGTCGAATCACCATTTTTCTTTAGAAATGGTATGTTGACAGTGTCATCTATAAATAAATGATGAAAACAGGATGCAATAAGCTATTATTTGTTTAAAAAAATGAATCTACTCGAAATTTTTCTAATAATCTTTGATGGATCATCATTCAATATCCAGAACTTGAGAGCATCTTTTCATAATGCAAAAGAGTGAAAATCTTTCTTCAAAATAGATTTTCAGAAGTCTTCTAACACGAGTTTAAAGGATGCTATAAGGTAACATGAATTTGCGGGTAGAGAGATATACATATATATGAGTGATTCTGATAGAAGTAGTACCGTTTATTTTCAAAAATTTGACCAAAAGAAAAAGCATATCAATATCATATATCGATAGTGGATATCTAGCAGTACCAGAAAAAAGCAAGGTTGCAAACTATCACCTCTTTTTGTCCTGAATTTTCAAAAAACTGTGAATTTCAAATGCAAGGAGATAAGACCTCTGCTGATTTTCATGTATAAATGACTGAAACTACTCTAAAAGTAGATAATGAATATTTATTCTTTAAGTTTATTTTTAACAGTTATTATTGTAATTTTATTTATTGATTATCATATTAGTAATTTTTTATTGTTAAGTTATGAGATTTTCTTTTAAGCTTTTGGTATATGTTATTATTATTAGTTCATGATTTTAAATTATTATGACCCGTTTATCTATTAAATTTTTTAGTAGTTTGTAGATTAAAAAAATGTGCTCCACCTACTGGTATACTCAAAAACAGTTTCACAAAACTTCCAGTATACTAGTTTTCTGATAACCACAGATTTCTACAAACCCTCTCTTCATCAATTTGAACGCTGTATATGCACATCCTTAAATTATCCACGTTGGGAAACCTTTATACTAAAAGTTTGGCTTTATTTACGTGTGTTACGTTAAAGTTACAAAAAAAAACCAGAGAGTACGGCTACGGGACATTACCTAGTATTTTCTAGTTTACTCCCTTATAAAACAACTTCAGTTGTTATCATTTTTATAGGATCATCGTGCGGTTAGACTACACTTATGATAAAAAGAGAAACTTTCTACCATGTTCCGTTGAGGTGTGACGTAGTGGATGGTTACAGGACAAATTGTCAGTCAAACCTCAACTAGCGTTAGTAAAGCGTGAATTACACGATAGCGAAAAGTGATGGAAACATCCAATTTTCGCTGTTATCTAACTCCGATGCAAAAGTAATTGCCGAAATCACTAGTCATGGTTCTCCGCTCAAGAACATTGTAGAAAGTGCATCCTTTTTTTGACTGAAAGTGCAAAGCCTGAACTTCAAAAATATAGGAAACAAAATTTTTGAAAGTGGCTTTGAGGAAGAAAAGAGTACGATACCAAATGTCGCTAAAAAAGCCCTCGCAACTACTGTCCTCTTCAAATGTATCTTTCGCATCAAATCCATTTTTCCCTGTAACAGAATAGGTTTGGAATTATATAACTATAGAAACTTGAAGTGTTTTTACCACGCTTTTAAATGGGGTATGATAAATTATGCTTTGATCCACTTTTCACCCGGAACTTTGCGAGTTTTTTATCAGTTTCAAAGAGTAGGTAATTAGACTTAATTAATAATGTTTAGATACTGGACGAATTTCCTCCTTTTCTAAAATAAATTTTCTAGAACAGCATGCAATTTAACAACGAGCTACTTTCTCATCTATTTATTTTTCAAGAAAACGTTATTCTTCAGACTCTAGTAAAAAAATAAAGAAAACGTTCGTTGCAAGAGCTT